TAAATATCACACATTAAGATCCAAATATAACTTAGTCGTATTAAGTAAAAGTCAACGAAAAAATATTTTCTTTCATTTGTACTGTCCTCATAAATGTGCACATTTTGATTAATAGTGTGGGTTACTTATAGGTATGTGAAGGATATATTTCATACCCTCTTTGAGGTACCTCTTCAATAGATAAGTTAAGGCTTTTATTAAAGTAATGCTATGTCATGTTTTATTTTATTTACGAAGAGCTTTTGGGATGGAACGTTATAAAAGTATATAGGCCTAGTATACTATTTATTCCGTTAGATAGCGTTGTTTGTGATAGCTAATGTACTTTCAGTTACGTTTTAAAGGTGATCGCTAATATTGCCTCTTTTACGACATACGTATCTCTCAGCACATTTGTTTTTATTATGATTTAATGATCTGTTACTATGAATAACTATTTTTTATGTTTATTTTTAGTGCGCCATTGTTTTGCACTGAAAAGTACCCAACCTTTTCTATATAATTTCCGTTAGTAGTTGTAAAATTATTTAATTTTCCTTTACAAGAAGTTTTAAATTTTAATTCAGTGTATGTGTCCAATTGCTATATGCTAGATGAACACTTACAAATAAGGGATTAAAAATATAAAGAAGGTAATTAAAATTCGCATAATTTTCGTCAGCCTACCGCAATCCACTGCTCGACAAAGGCCTGTCCAAATGCACGCCAAAACAATCCGTAGCCATATATATATTTTTTTACTGAATATTTATTTGTTTAATAACAGGTACAGAGAACTTTCAACAATTATTAATATATAGATAGATAATAATGCAATTAAAGTATTTGCAACATTTACACCACTTACATACAACCTTAACAAAAATTCCTCCGCATCATCGCCTACTGGTCGCGTTCCCAGAAGACTGGCAGCATTGCCACGTTGAATCGAAATGCTAATTCAATGTGCTAGAAAAAGGCCGGCCTTCTGATCATAACAAGTGTCGATCTTTTGCTTAGGTAGTTGTTTAAACATGGCACAAGCACTTGGACCCCATAACCCTAGCGTCTCGACCCCGGTTCGACCCCGACAACGGTTCAAAAATTTAATATCCTACCAAATTTCGGTATATACGCCATTTGAGGGTTTCTGCAGATGCAGCAGCAGCGGCGGCATAACCAGCTATGCTTGGATAGTATCAGGGTGTCAACGCGTCCCACACCAAAGGCTTACCTATCTGCCATGGCACCAACGACATACGGTCCGGTCTCATCCCATCGTTTCGTACCAGACCATTGGGTTCACGTACAGCTGGAACGCCTGGCGGTATCAAGAGCACGACGGATAATGTCGTTAATATTGGCGTGTCGAGACATACGGCGAGCGCTTCTGCTACGAGTACAAGGAAAGCCATGAAATCCAAGACTGTTAACAGCTTCTCAGCAGTGACAAAGATTCGGTGAAACACAAGGCGCACCTAACCGAAGACTAGGCTACAAGAATGAAAGTGCCTGAATCCATAAGCCTGATTCCCATTCTACCACAGCCAAAAACGGCCAAAGCGGGCTCAGATAGATTTATTGGTGTATTGATTAGCGTTTTTTGATTTAAAATACATAGTGTCCCATTGTTTCTGAGCGAATGGATTAATAGTTAATCTTGTATTGGGACAAGCTATCCACCAGGTATGTATGGCGTCGGCCTTGCAAGACACTTCAGAATCAACCAGTGTGTTTATTAGAATTTACCTGGTTCTCTTTTGTGCCATGGACCGGAAATAGAAATACTGGAAGGCTGACATCTACAATTTTGCTTACTCCAACACCACCCAAACGAACTGATAAGGACGCCTGGAGCCAGACTCGATCGTTTAAAGCCTCATTTAAACTTAACTCATCAATCCTGAATCAAGTAAAATAATTACTCAGCCAGTTTAAAACAACAGTGAGTTCATTTTGCATCAGCTATGCGTGACCACGTCCTAGCGACGTGAATATTCATACTGGCATGCATCAGCTAACGCGACTAACACCGACTTAATCCTGTCACAGTAAGAGAACCGCGTATTAAGGACACGTCCGCATCAGGCAAAGTTAGAGGTAGCACATTATTCATATAACTGAGAAGCAAGTATTGTCTTGAGATGAACACAGAATCAAATCAAATAATAGATAAACAAACAAAGTTTTCAGAATATTAAGATTTCTCTAGCAATCATGCTACTTTAAATTTAACATGGAAAAACTCTTCGACTCTTTTAAAAAAAAGAGATCTTATCGTTTTATTAAAGTAAGTAATGAGATTCTAACTAGCGAAATGAATTCTACTTCAACTGACGAGTCCGTGTACCCGACTACCCCAAAATATCAATTAAATCGGTTTTTTTTTTTCTGTGAAAATAGCAAATAAGCATATTATTGCATTGAGTGGACTCCGATAGCCTGATGATGATGACGATAGCATTCAAGTGACTGAGTAACTCTTCGTGCAAAATATATCAATCCGCACACGGCCTAACACAAAAGAACAAAGTTATTTTAAATTGACAAAATTGTCGACGAGAGCTTTGGCTGTAGGCACGGCACACACAGCCGTAACGAGTAACGAAGAATCATCCGATATGTAAAAGTAAAACAACATTTTAAAATGTCACTGACCGTGCAGATATACTACTCCATACACAACTTTACACGAGCCAACTTCACATTTTTTTTATCAAATTAGTCTCGCATTTTGAACGAACAAACGCAATTCATTTATATAGTGGAGTTGCTACAAGGTTATGAAAAGATTAACGAATGAAATTGAACTTAAACAGTAATTGCGGTTTTCATTTTCACGTTAAATTATGTTACCGTAACTTATTCACCAGTATTCCCTACAAAGAATTTTTTTTATGTTAGAGGGGGCAGACGAGCAGACGGGTCACCTGATGGAAAGTGACTATCGCCGCCCATGAACGTCTGCAACTCAGGAGTCACAAACGCGTTGCCGGCCTTTTAGGAAGGAGTACGCTCTTTTCTTGAAGGTTTGAAGGTCGTATCGGTCCGGAAATACCGCAGACGATAACCCGTTCCACAGATTGATTATTATATAAAGCTTTTTAATTTAAACGTTCAAAATGTATATTTATTTACGAAAATGTTATTTTTTCATCAAACTTTGTAAGGATAAGCAGATATAATATTTATTGCATAGAGCGAGGAGCAGAGATGGCAAATGTTTCTTTTATAAAGACTCAGTACCCGTTATTAAACTGAATTGAAAAAGAGCAAAATAATTGTTTCATTGATAAAGCGAAAAATAACAGCATCCAGCACACTGGAACACAGCTTCCATAATTATGAACAAATACTTGTAAATACTACAATCCTCTTTATCTACAAGACAGCTGGATATCATGAACTAAAGTCGACTGCACGGATGGCGTAGTGGTTTAAGCGGTCGCCGCGCCGTTTCCTACTACGCTGAGTGTTGTATGCTCGATCTCCACATGGGACGATACTTACAAATTGTTGTTCTGAGTATGGATGTTCTTTGTTTCCGTTTCATGTATGTTTGTCAAGTCCCCAGCGACGCGAGTTGTATTTTGTTTGAAAGGTGAATTAGTATGTGTAATTAGTGTTCTTAGCTATGTTTTATGAAAACCTGTCCAAGATGGTGCGGTCAACGGTCCAAATTACATATTTTTTGACAACTCCCTCAATATGGGTATCAAATAAAAGGGCTTGACTACTAATGCTATACACTATGAAAAATTTAAAATCCAAGATGTGTGTTCGGGTTTTATTAAAGTTAAAAAAACAAAGTGGTGTGTGTAGACAGTAGGCGAAAGAAATAAATTATTATATTTTGAGACAAATGGGCTGTCTCGACCGGAGTGATGTGTGATGTGACAATTTTATTTTATTAATTTTCAAAGACTGACTGTGACCAAACTTGATTCTGAAGGGGAGGGTGGGGGAACTCAAAAAGAGACAATTGACTTATGACTCTTGTCTTGTCCATGGGAGGCAGGAGTCACTTACTCATCGGGAGTGACGTCGGCTCGATTGCCATTCGATTATTATTGAAAAATATAAACATTCACCTTAAAGCCTTTGTGATAACTACAGAATTACTATGACGTCCGCGTACGTCTAGTATAATTTGCATACTATTACGTGTAATAGATTGCCGCTAACGACACAAACGTGACGAGACGAACGCACAACTTGTCGCGAAGCTTCGAAGGCAGCATGTTCGCCGCAGATAACCGAATGTATTATGGTAAGCTCCTATGGAGTTATGAGCTCCGCACTCAAGCTGTGATTACCGGTTGCCATTTAGAGTTTAACTACTTGAGAAACGCCGTGTTCACTAACTTGGAAATGTTGTATTTATGTTACGTGACATTTGGTATTTTTAACTTTGCACTCATTCTAATTTTTTCTTTCTTCTTTTCTTTGTTTTTAAAGACAACTCCCGCATTAGGAAAATATCCTGTGTCGCGGGGGACTTTACAAACACACATGAAACGGACACAAATAACACCCAGACTCAGAACAACAATTTGTGGATCACACAAAGTGTCGTCCCATGTGGGGTTTGAACCCACAACACTCGGCGTAGTAGGAGGCGGCGTGGCGACTGCTTAAACCACTACGCCATCCGAGCAGTCCTTTTGATCTCCATAATTTTTTTTCACAAGCATCTACAAAACTACTTAGTGGTCATCTGAAAATGTTTTCAGTATTCATCAGATCCACTTTTTAAAATATAAATTATAATTTCTAAATTTCTTTAAACAGAGGATCATTAAAATATATATAAAACAACGGATTTTGTATCGTCCATTATGAGAGTCTAAGGGAAAAAAAGACTATAAAATCTTCTCTGGAGGTATAAAGTGATTATAAATTTGATAGCAAACTTAAGATTAAAATGAGCTATACCGGCAGCTATAATATAAATATATAAACAAATAACAGAAAGATTTATGAAACGAAACCATATAAAGTTAAGTAAGAAAAGAACTTACGTCATTGGTGGAGACGAACCACGCCATCTCTGTGCTCGATGCGAGCTGGCCATTGACCAAACATTTGATCTCACTCTTCGTCCATCTGTTGTATATGTACACTACTGCTATCGCGTACCACCTGCGTTACAAATAACAAAAGTAACTATTATTAACTTGACACATGGAGATGCTGATTCAAAACTAGGCAGAGCCTGTACTATGGTAACGACACTGCTGATACACATTATTACATATACATTACATAAATTACAACCAAGCACAGAACTAATAATCTCTGGTTTAACAGCCAGTAAAACTAAATACTTAAACTAACAGGCTTAGCTATTAAATAATAAACACACCAAGTACATCTATACAAATAAATAAAATTGAAGTGTCTGTTTGTAATGTCAAAATTATAGGTTTTTTTATGCTCACACGGTTATTTGCACGATACCTATGCCTAAAAACCAGTTATTTTTTTTTGTCCGTCTGTTTATTCCTGGTAATATTCTAAACGGCAGGACAGATTTCGATAAAATTTTACTACCAGGTAGCTGTCTACATAAGGAATAACTTAGGCTTTTTATTCCTCTCCAAAAACCCTTTAAAATTTTGCCCGGTTCGGGCATTGAACCCACTAAGGCAGCGCTCTTCAAATTCCACGCGAACGAAGTTGTGGGTACCAGTTACTTTGATTATAAAGGGAGCTGAAATATATTAAAAATCGTTTTTCCATTGGGTAACCTACATGTTATAGCTACGAGTATGTAGTATAGGATTATGAATTATAATAACCTAACTATAACCATCGTTAATATAAAAAGTCTGAGCAATTAATAAATATCTTACTAGTCATTTCAGTTATTACTTTCAGATCTGAATGAAATTTTACAGTTGGATACATCGAATTCTATGATTAAAATGTGAACAAAAAATTAAGTTGGAGCAGGATTACTTTCACACCACTGAGCAAGAGTTTTGCAAATAAATCTGAATTATAGAAATATTCGCATTAGCCAGTCTTTTCAGTTCAGTTTCATGCTAAAGTTAGATTAAAATTTAACGAACAAATTTAAGTTATTCTGTTATCTCGGCTAACATAAACCTGTCGCATGCGGATTTAATTTTTATGTAAAACTAGCTGAGACCCGCGGTGTTACCCGCGTTTGCTGTTATAACCGCGGGCAACGCCGCGGGGCGAAGCTAGTCTAAAAAAGTAGCCTAAGTTACTCCTTATGTCATCAGCTATCTGCCAGTGAAAGTCCCGTCGAAATCGGTCCAGCCGTTCCAGAGATTACCCGGAACAAACAGACAGACAGACAGACAGACAAAAATTGTAAAAAATGTTATTTTGCATATGTACCGTGTAAACATACATATGGATTTAGTAAAAAGCGGTTATTTTAATATTACAAACAGACACTCCAATTTTATTTATTTGTATAGATATAGACTAGTTTTTCACCCTGACTTCAATCGGTTATAACTAATTTTGCCAGGCCGCGAAAACATATTTTTTCTAGATGAAAAGAACAATACGTCATTTTCTGATGATTGGTGATTGATTGATGATTATTTATCAGATGAACGGTACGGCGGCAGCTGCGCTTAAATACAAAGAAACGAATATTGTTTTTATAGGTTTTATTATAAAAATACAACCATATCTATTCCGGGCTAACTTTTACACGACCGCTTGGACTGTAGTGACTAAACTGAAAAGTTTATTTTAACTTTAGTTTAGTTTAACTTTTTACGACACTGATTTAGTTTGGCAAAGTGTGAAACGGGATAAATATTTTCACTTTGCTTCAGTTATATTAAACGGATTTTTAAGAAAAAATTATAAGGGATCAGATAAACAATAGCACCGTAATCATACTGACTAAATACAATACTTACATGACAAAATAAATAGTAAAATTCACATAATGTTCATCATAAATTGATTGCTGCTTACCTCCTGGGTTGGAACTCGTATTTGACACAATGCTGGAAACCCTTGCCTCGTACTTTCATTGACGTGAGCACTAGACAATTGCCTACGAAGTGAGCTGTATAGCCTACGCCTTTACTCGTTTTGAAGCTGTGTCAAACAAACAACACAATTAGTTACATCGTCAATGAAATGCTTCTGCACTTCCACTTCCAATTAAAAAAAATCACTCACACAAAATAAGAACGATAAAATAATGATGTAGTCACATTGTAGTGTGTGTTAGCAAATTGGCAATTCAATAATCTGAACACCAACCTAAATTGATTAAGTTTTAGTACCAGGACAAGAGTGGAAACTACACTTGGAACATGCGAACTCTAATCAAATGAAAACTTCGGAACGCAGGTGCAACCGCGCTTTGCAGCCTACACTATATTTACGACACATTAATTCAACACTAGTTTCTGTTGAGGGGTATAAATACCTGTCTTTCATGTGAGCGATTAATCAATAAATGTTTCTGCCTCTATTGTATGGTACTCAGTACAGAACAATTTTGCCTGTCCTAGCATTTTAGGTAAGAATTTATTTCGTTTTCACGTTACTTCGTTTTAGAATGTTGGCACTAATGTTTATTCAATTCGATATACAAATAACTAACGTTGTTTTTTTAATTCTCCCCTTCAATGTGCCTACATTATCATACATTGAAATAAACTGTATTTTACAGGCCTGAATTTTATCTACAAATTCAAATGGGACCGAACGGAAAGCATGTATAAAATATTTGAAATCTGTTCATTAATGACGAGTAACTGAGTTAAAAAAAAAGAAAAAACATACAGAACAATTGAAAACCTCCACCTTTTTATAGTATGTTAAAAATATTGGACACAATTGCTTCATTTTGATTTCCTAATTATACTTTAAAGTTTTATGAAGAGAATTTAGTTATACCAATATAAATAGGGTTTCTCTCGTTCGATGTTGACTGAGTTGATGGGGTCGAGCCGGAACCACGTAGTGAAAGTGAATCCGTTCTCGTACGGCCACCTCGCTAATGGCGGCAGCACCACGGCCTGTAACAAACACAAATAGGTTCGTTAAAGATTGAGTGAAGAAGAAACATTACATAATAATAATGGAGATAAGTCTTTCAAAGTTCCTTTCGAGAACCAAACAGAAACTAAGCGGTTGGTCCTTCAAGCCGATAGATTTTATAACAATAGCTTTATTTAATGATTTTTCAATTGCTTTAATTTTAACTCAGAAATAGTCCGCGAATAGTAATTGTTGCGGATAGACATGTAATAGACATGTGCGACGTGTTGCGAATAGACAAATTGTTTTTTACGAGACGGTAGCCTAGTGCTTAAGGCATTGGACTTGCGATCAAGAGGAGGATTCGAGTCCTGACCAGTACACTACCGACCTTAACCCACTCCTAACACAAGCAATTTAGCTTAGCTGGAGGGGTTAACGGAAATACTAGTAATTTCGGATTATGTAAGCCTTAAAAAAATTGAAAAGCATTCATCGCAATATTTTAAAAATATAACTTAATAATTACAGTGCCGCATTCATGTGGTACATCCACTGAGGACTTAAAAATAAAATATAAAACCTTTAGAAATAAAAAAGAACTAAGTACAAGGTAAATAAAAAGTATCCAACAAGTTTGATGGGACTTTTACCATCCGAGCAAATGGAGTTGGTTCACTGATTTTTCTTCGAATATCTCATAAAAATGTCGAATTCGAAGAGGCGAACTTGGCAAGTGGTGCGGCAGTAAAAACTTATTTTATGCTCCGAAGGCCAACACTACCGAACGGCAACAGATAGGGATTTCTAGTGAAGGATCCTATCGGAGTATCGCTTCAATAAAATCTACATATGAGTTACTTTTATCGCTACCCCAATCTTATATTGCAAGTGTGTCTTTATACATACAATAAAGTAAATAAACACGTTATCTTCCACTAACACAGTATTTTTAAAGGTTTATCGCGACATATAGCATGTATTTACGCTTAGTTGAAGAGATTTACCAGGCGGACATAAAAGTGGTGGTACCTAGATTAATAAGATTAAGTAAACTTTGATGTTGAATGCCAATAAGCCTAATTCAGGGATGATGGAGATATAAATGGGTTTATGTGACGAACCCGCTTTAGGTAGCCTCGTTCCTGACGGGCTGTTTTTTCGTTTTATTAAGTACGTTTTACACGAGGATCCTTTACTAAAAACATAAAACTTAAATCTTTAAATTTATGAGTTTTAGTAAGATATACTTTTATAGCATTAGAATTACTTTTATACTTTTTCATTTGCAAATTCAAAAACTGTGTACTCAACCTGTTTCTGACGTCGAGTTCCGCACCCAATTTCCATCGGTATTCGTAAATTGTACAGTGAACAAATTACGGCTAGCACACTTCCGTACCCTTGATACTTAGCTATATGTATAAGTAGGTAAAAATAGAATCGTTGGTTACTAAAACATAAATCAAACACCTTTTTAATCTCATTGCCATGGGATATTGTGAACAAACGTATGTATTTAGCATTGAATGCGTTGAATTTTTGTTTGCCATCACCGTCATTTTGGGGGGAGGGGGGGGGGGGGGAAATGAAAGCGGGTGATGAAAAATAATTAACAATTAAAATGCCTATTCATTGCTTACGAAAAAATTTAAATAAATTATGCTGGTGTATAAAAAATACTTAAAATAAAAGTCATCTAAAGTCAAACTTCTTACCAAGGGTGTACACTGTCTCAATTTATTACTGGAGGGTAGTTAGTAGTAGTGCGCTCGCGCAGTGAGATACGAAGGAGAAAAAAAAAACAGCGGTTTAGATATTGTACAAAGTATTCTTGTGAATGGATTGTTTGCGGGAATATAAACTGTGTGGTTGGTGTTGTAAAGTGAAAATAAACTATTTCAGACTATTTGTTGGGACATTTACTTGACGCTCACAAGCTCCTCTGCTCAGCTACACGAGATAACGTACGGTCCTGTATTTACGCTTCAAAGGTATACCTAGTGGGCAAACTAGTAGGCTTGTGACCTGATGGTAAGTGACTATCGCTGCAAAATATAACGATGCTATGGAATAGGTCCAACGTAAGTACCTCCGTGCTATGCAATATATGCTCTCAACAAAACATATCGAACATCAACTCCTTAAAAAATACAATATGTCGACTTTGCAATCCAGACGTATTGTCCTCGACACTATGACTCTTTTTATTATAATAAGCCGCATGAATTTGATTGTCCAGACTTGGAGAATAATTTGTGTTCGCTGGTTCCTCGAGCAGTACGTGACAGGGAGGTGCCAGCTAGGCACCTATTCGCGACTAGACGCTGTAAAAGAAATTCTGGTGTGCGTTCGCCCCTTTATCGCTTAGTTGACACATACAATAAGCACTTTAGTGCAATCAATTAAATTTAAAAGCAATATTTTCGGTACTAAAGGATCGGCAGTAGGCAATGGAAGTTAAATGTAATTTATCTATTGTGTGTTTAAGTGATGCTTTATTTATATCAGTTACAAACATTTTGTTTTGGGTTACCTCTCTCCTGGTTTATTTAACTACGTCGCAAATCATGTCTGCTAACAATGGTTTTTTTTTTATAAGGCAATCTGTGGAAAATGTAGTGGGTAGTATATAAGTTAAGATTAGTTATAAGGACTTCATATGTATAATTATTAAACTGTAAGACCCGTAACATTGTAAGACAAGCGGCCGTAGCCTAGTGGTACCCGAGACGCCGTGCGGTTTTTTGTCGGTTCGAGTCCGTCATAATCACCCCACCGCACGTTATGGTTTTTAACCGAAAAAACGGATATCTTACTTTTTATATTTGTCGATAAACGAAATTGTTTTCAATCGAAGAGTTTTGATTTAAACGTAAGAGATATTTGACATTAAAGTATTTCTATGGGAAATATAAAAATTATTTTATTTTAAAATATAACACTTTTTATTGCTTATAGGTATTTTTATATGTAATTATATTCACAAACATGAGCGTTTCCAACAAAAAAGACCTCAATATTCTATGCTTAAAAAGAACGAAAAAAAATATTTTTTTGTTTATTTTAGGTTTTATTTTTAATTCCTTTATGAGGAAGAATATGTATCCTATTTTTGCTATGGTCACAGTTCATCAAAACATGCATCACGAAAAAACAATTTCAAATTCCATAGCATTTCGGAACTACAACCTTCTACAGTTTTTTAAGATAATTTTGGTTTAAGGGTTGTCAGCTCATAATTTATTTTTCATTAATTATTAACCAACCTTAAACAACAACATTTTGGGCTTCTCAAATGCGAGAAGCCCAAAATCGATCTAAGTGGCGTGCAATGGGAGAGGCCTATGTCCAGCAGTGGACTGCGATAGGCTGATGATGAAACAACAACAACCAACCCAAATACCAAAATGTTCCTAAAAAGCTTTAGAAAGTTGTAGTTCCTAAATGCTATGGAATTTGGAATTGTGCACTTATGGTTTCTGACCGAAAAAACGGATTTTTCGGTCAGAAACTATAATGTGCACCGGTGGGTGATATCCGAGATTTCAGCTCAGCAAAAAAAATATGGAGGCGGTCTAACGATACATCTTGTACCTGTATAAGGTTGGAAACAAAAAAATAAAACTCGTTCCTCTAGAGTTCACTTGTAACTTTTACTGAAGCATTTTCAGACCTCTGTACTTGTAATGATTAGACCTGGCTCGTGAATCTATCAACATAATCAAACTTAGAAGTACTTTGGAGCAAATTCCAACCTCTATTTACCGTAAGGGTCTGATATGGTGATTTGCATTTTTATATCATGTCGGGAACATATACGTTCTGTGGGTTCGACCCCGCATACCTACTAACGCACCGTTGTATTCTCGAAATCAAATTCCCGAAACCCGCTTCCCGGATGCTGTACGTATATATATAAATATAGGTAACACGAAGATTTTTAAGAATAGTAAATTTTTGGTCTAATGATTTAGTAACATTCATTTTAAAAGCAACATTTTTAGAACTACTGTGTTAGTGTTACTAATGCTCTACAGAAGATGGGATAAGATTGGTATCGATCAAGCGATACTATTGGTGTAACGACTGTTTATAAACACCGGTAACCGCTCACCATCAGGGCCTGTGTGCATGTTTTCTAAATGATTATATGAATGTAAACACATTGCAGTATTTATAGGAATAAATGGATTTTATATGCGATCGAAAAATTTAACTATATGTCGTTTTTGTGTCTTGCATAGTTAGTAAATTAGTAATATTTTACAAGCCTCTTATAAGCCTTATTGTTTTCTAATTATTATTAAACTAACAAAGAATCATATTCCCATGTCACTCTCATTATTAGGACGAATCTAACGATACCTCCGAAGCCAAATCCATCAAGCAGTTTATATTCAAGAGCGTGCCAAGGAAATAGACATAATTAAATACCAATATAAACTCGAAAAATATAACATTCCTCCTACTGGAACAGTCGGTTAATACATTTTCGTGACTAAACTAATTTTATCATTCATATTTCCTTATATTTTGTTTTATCCAACCTGTATTCTATAAACTTACAAAAAAATTGTACTTGTAAATAAATACTGGTTTCAAAATAATTTCCAAATATGACAATTAAACATCAAATGTCGAATAAACGCCAATCTATAGGATACGCGTAGGCTACGAATATAAAGGCCCCGAACTAATAAGTATCAACAACGAAACGTACGCATCGTAATGACCTCAACCGAGAGTGAGCGAGCAGCACGATGACGCCGCCAGACCGGTTCAATAAGCGTCACTGACCGGTTTCGAATCAGTTGCGCGCGGCGCTCCGTACCCGTCGCATGTCCGTCACGAACCGACTCGTAACACAATGCCGCGCGACATCCTCAGCGAACAACAGTGTAACATCGAATTCGTTAAGAACGTGCAAAAATTCCCTTGCTTATACAACTTTGAGTTGCCATCGTACACAAGAAAGGATATCAGCGATAAAGCATGGGAGGAGGTGGCCGAAGCGATGAATATGACACGTAAGTTCGTTCCAATATGGCGCTAGGTGTTTTAGAGAGAGCGTTTGTTACCCCTCCGCGCGACCCGCTAGGGCTGCGCGCCACCAGACAGTAGGTTTCGAAGTTTTTGTTCAGCAAATACTGGTGGCAAAGGTTTATTAGAATGTGAACTTCTTTCCGTAATAATAAAAAAATATTAGTAGATAATTACACCAATTTTTTTACGAGGCTTAAAAATTGCAGTATCTAGTATAATAAAAGTGTTTATTTATCGATGTAAGCGAGATACATTAACATTGGGTAGCGTTGCGTCGGCGATAGATGATTGTATTATCAGCGGTCGAACGCAGACATACGAGTAATATATATAGTTGGCGCGGCCACAGAGACAACACGGCCGCGCAATGCGCATGCTTGTAAACTAGACTGGTTGCACAGCGTCGCGTCACTCGCGTCGCAGACTCGCCTCCAATAATTCTCGTTATCAACTAGCCTCTTGTCACGATTCCATAACTACTTGATGAAATAAATAACTACTTGATGAAATAAACAAACTTCATACATACATTTAACTAGCAACAATAGAAAACAATTCAGTAAATGTCACATACTAATGGTATACCTACGTTTTTACCGACACTGTTGGAAGGTCAAACAGGAATTCTTAGCACCTGGCTTCTCGTCGCTTGCACTATTCCCTAACTCTTTATTTATCAACAATCACGAATAACTTATTGATTCAAATGGCAACTCCATGTATCGTATTACACGCATATTTTGAAAGTTTTATAATAGCAAAGGCAAGAAGAATATGTCACTATGTCAGAAGTTAATGTTTTTACTAATACATGTCTAATCTGTATTTTGGTTTCTGTGCGTATAGGTTGACAAAAGACGGGCCAAAGTTAATAATGTCAATGGACTTGTATAGTAAGAATAGTTTTTCAAATAAACATTACAATATAGTGAGTAATAAAACTTTTGAATTAAAAAGTACTGCCGTCTTTAATATTTCTAAATCATGATACTATAAAATTTGTAATAAGCAACGTACAGGCAGCACCAGTACAGGCTCAAAACTTTATTGGGGTTAGGTGTGAGGTGATTAAAGTTATTACCATTTATTAATTTAATCTTACTTTTTTCATCAATAAAGAAGCAATGTCTACCTAAAACACATAGACTTGGCTTCCTTTCAATTCTTGTCTTATCCACCATAGAGCCCTTACGGCTTACTCATAATGAAGGTCAGGCCTCCTATAGGCCATAGATATTTGTTTTGAGCGGATTTAATTGAAGCGTAAACCTATTCCATCCAACTTCACACATGTTGGCTTTTATTAAATAAATGAAATTGTACTTGTTTCAGCATCCGCATGCAGAGAAAGATGGAGGAACTTGCGAGCGGTCTTCATGAGGACTATAAAAGCTACAGGCGCCGGTACTAAGAAGAAACCATACTACCTAGCAGATGTCATGCAATTCATAGTGCCTTTTCTAAGACCTACTACCATGACAGAAGCGGAGAAAAATAAAATACTAAACATGGAATTGAATAGAGCGGAAAATTCTAGAACCAAAGAATCGGAATCGACCGCGTCAGTGGAAATAGCTCTGGAAGAAATAAAGGTTGAAAGTATTGATGAAGATGATACGGCACAAAGCGGGGGACCAGATTGGGGGGTTGAAATTACTAATTCATCAAGAAAACGTCCGCCAGACGTCGAAGAACAGTATACAACTATTACTAAAAAAAGACTGTCTTCAGTTCAGACTTCTGCGATAGGGCCGCTTGAAACCAGCGATCCCGTGACATCATTCGTCAATAGTCTCATGCCAGAGCTCAAAGAAATGAACTCTATGCAATTCAAGTGTTTCAAACGAAGAGTTTTAGTACTAATAGATGATATAACATCTGAGATACCAAATGCGCCACCACATGAAAACGATTATATTGTGTTTGACAATCAATGAATATTATCAAGTGTGGAAACTAGTCCTTACTAAGTGTTGCAGTGTAATATGAAACTAGTTTAAGAAAGATTTCTGAACTTAATTTATAATTTAAGTGACCAATGCCCTTAACTGTTGAAATTAAGTGTATGTTAATAATTGCACGGATGGCGTAGTGGTTTAAGCGGTCATCACGCCGCTTCTTACTACGCCGAGTGTTGTGGGTTCAAACCCCACATGGGACGACACTTTGTGTGATCCACAAATTGTTGTTGTGTTCTGTATGTCCGTTTCATGTATGTTTGTATAGTCCCCCGCGTCACAGGATAAATTCCTAATGCGGGAGTTGTCTTTTAAAAGAAAGAAAAATTGGAGATCCGTCTATTTTTATTAATTATAGTGGTTTAGGCGTTCACCTCGCAGCTTCCTACTACGCTGAGTGTTGTGGGTTCGATCCTCGCATGAGACAACACTTTGTGTGATACACAAATTGTTGTTCTGTGAGCGTTCTTTATGTCCGTTTCATGTAAGTTTATAAAGTCCCCCGCGACACAGGATTTATACCTGGTGCGGGAGATGCATTTAAAAAAAAACTGCTCACTGATTTTGGTATTTGAGAGAAATTGCAACAGGCAGAACAATTTTTTTTATATTTGGCCTGTTGGTCTATCGGTTAGTGACCTGACTGCTCGGCCAGAGGATCGTGAGTTCGATTTCCATCTAAGACAAATAATTGTGCGACAAGCACGATTATTTGTTCTGTCTTTGTGTAAAGTATTTATATTATATAAATGTATGTAGTGTAGTATAATGTGTAATAGTTAAGCATGTTTGACAGCAGTCTGGTTACCGTAGTACATACTATAGTTAAACCGCCGTAAGCTTGGACCTCCTGATGGTTTGGGGGACGCGGGGCGGGGTGCATTCAACCAATTAGCTAGTGCGTCGCTGTTCGCCGGCAGTGACTGACGTGAAAGCATGGCTGTACGTGTTATTTTTCTTAAGACTGCTAACACGGTATTATTTTAACATGGATAATCTGCCGACTCTGCGTCACAAAAAGATTTAAAAACTTGAAGTTCGGCTTACAGAGGTTCTACTGTTAAAGTTCTAATAAAGAATATTTATTATTTTACTTAATTTTTAAATTGTATCTGAATATAATTTGCATGATGAAGATAAGGTGATTTTTTTAAAATTATTTTACAGTATTAAATTTTATAATTAATCATAAAAACTTACAATACACTGACATTATAATACATGTAAATAAATTCGATTTTTATTACATCGTGTGTAGATTAAATCTCAAACAAATAAATCTGAAGATATCGAGTTAGTACATCGTGTCATGTATAGCCGAGCGCATCACCCGCCCCGCGTCCCGCAAACCATCAGGAGGGCCAAGCTTACGGCGGTTTAACTATAGTTTGAGATCAGACAACCGTGTGAGAGACATGTGTCGTTATTTTTATTATTTGTATTTCTTACCTAACCTTAATGGCTCTTTTTTAGTCATAATTAAACTTATATAGATATAATAGAATAAACTTTATTGTACCTCAATTTTTTTCTTTTTTCTTTGGATTACATCAAATCATGTAAAAATGGCAGCCATATCGTTTAAATCAATTTCTTACAGGTAACCTTTGGATGAACAAATCGACTGTGATTAGAAATTTAAACAGATATTTAACACGAAAGAACAGTATGCAGATCTAGTACGAGGTTTTTACCTGTATAGATGTTGTTTATCATGAAAGTTATGGCGTAAATGGCGTCTTTTTTTAATTACAATAGAGGATATGAAACAAATCAAGATTATAGATATATGTACCATACAAATTGCACAAGAGTAGTTTTAAAAAATTAGTTACAACGTTGTTCATTCCTTTTAACAAGAGTATTAAATGTGAGTTTTAAAACGCTACTACCAAAAAATCCGAAGTTTCATATCAATTTCCAAGCCCATTTTGCACCCTCAGGGGTGGCATTTTTATAAATGTTATCTTGGTGTACATCTACGTCACCTAAGGAACATTTAAACTGTGCGTTGATCGATCAATCAGATTGTGTGTTTCTTTTTTTATAGATATGGATTGCAACTGAAGATACAAATGTAAACCAAATTTGAGCACAATCGGGTATCAGGAAGTGGTTCTAAGCTTCCAAGATTAGTGCCGGACACACATACATACATACAAACAAAGCAAGTTAAATAAAAGCTTGTAAAACAAATACTGTTACTCGTGAGCTTTACTAAAGATAGCTGATATGGCCAGCCAGGCGGTTACAATAGCTGCCATATCATCTTTTGTTAAATTCTTACGTTAACGAATCAAAAGTGTTGTGAGTACTGAAAATAAAAGAAAGGTTTAGGGAGAAATGCTGTAATGTTATGCTGGCTTGCTTCCAACAAGAACCAACTTTACGCAACGTTCACGTGAATTACAACACGAATTACAAAAACTAAGAGGAAAATGTGACTCCTGAAATTGTACTTAACAAGCGAATGAACGCCTGGTTTAAGTCACTTTGTTTCTTGCATTTTAATTTTTTATAAAGGCACATGGACGCTTTAATTCACTTTGCAGCCTTGGCCTCACTGCATCGATGTTCTTATGTATAAAATACACAGAAAGTTTTCTACTGAAGCAAAAGTTGTTTTCATAGATATTATCTAATGGGCAAGGCTTTCTACTATATAGAACTATAAAATATTTTTATCATTTGTTACAAAAATATCAATAACATAAACTAATGTTATTACTACTAGAACTATTAATAGTATCTACAAAATCAAGTATTATTAATAGTCTTGTCAAGAACACCTACGAAGCTAAATATTCTAATAGAACCTACATTAAGATCGGTAAAAATAAAATATTTGTTTTTCTTTATATTTCCACTTGAAAATGTTTTGTCCATTAACGAATGGAGTTCAAACATTCCGACTTGTAAAAATATCTGAAAAAAAGATTTACTTACAGAAATAAATTTCATTTCATTTCATTCAGCGACCTATAACGAGACGCCGTAGATCTTGTAAATTTAGATTTAGATCAATAAATGGCAATCTTAAAATCGCAAGGTTCAGTAATATAAATTTCTCTATATTCTGAATACTAATGCATCACTGATTGGTTATCAAGCTTTGAAAATATCCTAACTTTCCCGAACCCTTTTAAAGTTTATCAAACGTGATGTCCTCCACCTCTGAATTCCTCATGTCGTCACAGTTTTCTTTCTCGCCAACCCTAATTAGAAAATGTATTTCAGTTTTAAATGTCGTTTTCGGTTCGTTTTCTGCTAAAAGAGCTTCACTGGAACAAGCTTTTTTATGTGAGTATTTAGCCACTTTAAGAAGTTTAATTTTTTTTAATTTTTAAGTTTAGTTTTTTTGTTAAATTTTTTTAGAATGGGTAAATTCTAGATCGACTTGATGCAGTGGAATAGTACAGCACTTCTAGTATAAGTATTATATACTTACATTTGCAATTCAATTATAACGAACTGAGGTAAAAAGAAGAATCTAAGATGAATATCTATGCCAGTAAAAAATAGCATTGTCTGGTCACCAGCTCAGAAGCACAAAGTAAGTTATGCATTCGATTCCTGCATTCTAATATTAAGATTCCTTTTTTTCGTTTTGTATCACTATACAGGTGATAAATTTTTTACACGGTTAAACATACTTATATATTTCTAAATACATACAGATTTTAGATAAAATACATCCAGGAACAGAACAAATGATAGTGCTTATCACACATCTTTGTCCTAGGTGGGAATCAAACCCTGAACCTTAGTTTAGCAGTCATGATCACAAGCCACTAGACTATTAGAAATCAAATGTGTCGAACCTTCAAAAATAGACCTTAACTGCAGGGATGGCGTAATGGTTTAAGCGGTCGCCACGCCGCTTCCTACTACGCCGAGTGTTGTGGATTCAAACCCCACATGGGACAACACTTTGTGTGATCCACAAAGTGTTGTTCTGAGTTTGGGTGTTCTTTGTGTCCGTTTCATGTAAGTTTGTAAAGTCCCCCGCGACACAGGATATCGTATCGGTCCGGAAATATTATTATTATTATGTTAGATATTATTTTTCTAATAAAAACTAGAAAGATAATATTTGACATAAGCTACACTTCTCCCCTAACCTTTTAGGAAGGTATTTTACACAAATAAAAATATATATATTAAAAGTATGTATATAAATGAGAGGAACGAAACGCAATATTTCCATGACATTAATCTTGGCACGAGTAGTGTACAGTTTCGTCGGGTTCGGTGCCAGACCTCCGTCCTGTATCCTATTTTTATATTTGACACATATTTTAAAAGGGTATTCTGATATCCTCCTGTTTATCGAGACATGTCTCGGTGATAAATGACAACACATTGTATTGACAACGGGTGCTGACAATGGGGTGTTCTTAATGTTTACTGGGGGATTGATTCCTTAAAGGTAAAGTACGTGTTCAGTCCCTTTTGTCTCTTTATATGTCAAGAAATATAGATAAAAGAAGCCAAAATGTAAACTCACTTGACAAAGTTCTAGCTGAATCAGACTTGCTTATTGTAATAATAATAACTTAATACACCTCATACACGACCGTCTGTTCTCGATCTAGGTAAAACCTGTACTATTGTGATCAGACTATTGGTAAACATAGTTACTTAGGGCATACTGAAAGTTTCTGTTCTCTGATAAATAAGACTAGATGAAAGATTTACTATACATTGATGGTTTTTCAAAATATCAGAAAACCGGTGTTAAGCAATTTTTTCGTTGCCTTTCACTGAGTGAGTGTGGTTACCGGAGCCCAAACCCCAAAGGCCTAAAGTCCAAAGACTCCAAGGGCAGTAATGGTAGTTGCTTACCATCGGGTGACCCGTCTGTTCGTTAGCCTCCTTATACCATAAAAAAAATATGCGCTCGCAATTAATGCATTTTCGCATTCGCTGAAACCACTGTATTATTAAAGGAAACGTACACACACACATCGAGTGCAAAG